AATACTGATGGACAGGTAGGTTGTAGCATATGTATACGTCATATCGCAATAAGCATTGTTATAGATCTTTGTACTTTTCTATTCTGGTGAAATGTTTCCCTAAACGTGGAGTTTTCAGGTTAAAGTATCCAAATTCTTTAAATATGTTGGTGGTTTTAGGTCCCTACTGTCTGTAACGTATCAACTTATACTTCTTCAAATCGCATTTGAGAATGCTTCTTCCCTCACATGCTTCCTAGTGTTTGGAATGATCAGTTTTGTTAATGTGCTAGGTAAGAAAAAAATTCATTCTTGAATAATTTGCATTCCTTTTAATTTTTCATAAAATTGAGCATTTCTTTTATATGTTCCTAGGCTTTTAAATATCCTTTGTATTTTTTGCCCATTTTTCTTTAGTTTGTTTGTCTTTTATTTACTGTTTTCTAGAAACACTTTTGGTCTCTGGGTGGCACAAATGGTTTGTGCTCACCTACTAACCTAAAGGTTGGCTACTGATAAAAACCTTGACAATTGAATTCCACCCAGCAGCACCAAGGAAGAAAGGCCTGGTGATTTGGTTCTGTAAAGATTGCAACCAAGAAAACCCTACGGAGCAGTTCTACTCTATAACACATGGCATCATCGTGAGTCTGAGTCGACTCTATGGCAATGGGTAGAAACACTTATTTGGAGCAAATATTTTCCCAATTAATACCTTCCCTTTAGAAGTTGTTGAAAGCTTTTAATTTTATATAACCAATCTGTTCATCTTTCCTTCATGGCTTCTGCCTCTCCTGTGTTGCTAAGAAAAAACTGCCTCATCACAAAAATTATGCAAATACTCTCCAGGTTTTTTATAATGAGCTTTTATTTTTTACATTTAGCTATAAATTATATCTGACACTCATGTGATGTGAGGTATGAATATTGCACCATATTTGCCCAACAGGTTAGCCCATTACCCCAGCATGATTTGTTAAATCATATACTCTTTCCCCAGTATTTTGAGTCTACATTTTGATATACTAAATTTCCGTAGTTCCCTCCCTTCTGATTCTGCACACTTTATTCCAGATATTGATAGATCTGTTTAATCTGTGCCAGTTGTTTACTGTTTAAATTATTGTGAATACGTAGAAATTTTCCAATCAAATCCTCTATCAACTTTACTTTTTAATATTTTAATCCCTTAATGATTT